ATTAGCTCCCATATTATTATTATTATTAGTATTATTATTATGACTAGAGGATGATTGAAATTAGGCTTGGCTAGGCGAGGCATATGCATAAAGCTTTTCTCAATCACTACTCATTTTTGTGGTCACATGGTATTTAGGCCTTCTTTTCTGCATACATGACGTCACGTTTTGGCACATCTCACCCTCTGGTCATTGGCGATACACTTCTTGCATGTCTGCAAAGTCTTCAGATAACCAAGGTCAAATAGAGGGCAAACTAACCGAACCTGATGGATGGGTTACCAAGTGAGTTAGAATCGATGTTGTTCTACTACTGTCCATGATCCGTATGCTTCAATCTGCAGGTATGTTTTTTCTACTATTATTTATCATTTATAAGAATTAAATCGTATCAAACAACAGATGACTGGAGATTCAAGTGGCCGGATCTAGTACTATATTATCTCAGATACTACAGGTTTTGGGGCATTGTTTTACTCATTATGCCGGTTTTTCTTGTATACAGGGTTATCCAAATTAAGTGTCCACCATTAGTAACTTTGTTATTAGTGAAAATACAAAGTTGTTTGAATTAGCAAACTAGTAGCATTTTTAACGCTGGTAAAAATGAGAAATAAAAAAAACAATTGAGAGTCGTTATTTTGATTTTTTTCAGTAAAATAACATTTTTTTAAATGGAAACCCCTGTATATTATATTTTTTTCTGTTAAAGCATCAAATTTTAAACAAAAAAGTTTACAATAACTTTTCTCCTAGGTTACAAATTGTTGAAGTTATGGCCTCCAATCTGAAACAATTAAATTGTATCGACAAACTTTATTTTCAACATCAACTTATAATCTTACAAAATACAATAACAATTTTTTTTAAAGAAGATGCTCCAAAACACCACCTTGTTCTTCAATACATTTTTGGGCACGTTTTTCAACTGCTCGAACTGTCTTAAGTATGGTCCTACCATCTATCTGGGTTATCCTTTCCCTAACTGCAGTCTTTAACGCGTCAAGGTTATCGTACCTTCGCTTGTAAATTTGGTTCTTTAAGTAACCCCACAAGAAGTAATCAAGTGGGTTTAGATCTGGTGATCTGGGAGGCCACTGTATTGGGCCATTTGTTCCTATCCACTGATCATTAAAAGTAGTACTTAGAAAATGATAAGTACCTCTGGAGTTGTGGGCAGGTGCGCCATCTTGCTGAAAATGCAGATGATGTCTACTTATAAGATCCAATTCGTCTAAGAAATTAGTCAGAATTTCTGACATAAATTCCACATATCTTTCACCAGTTAGGGTTCCCTCATAAAAGAACGGGCCAACAATTTTTGAACCAATTATACCGCACCAAACGTTGAAACTGAAACGGACTTGTGGGCCTCTTGGATGTACTAACAAAAGATTTTCTCTTGACCAATAATGGTGGTTTTTTCTATTAAACATTCCAGAATTTGAAAAATTTGATTCATCTGTCCAGAAAAGGTAACGAAAGTTATTTACATTTTGGCGACAGAAGCTGAGATACCAATGGCAAAAAACAAGTCTTCTCTCTGGATCCCCTGCCAAAAGCGTTTGAACTGGTCGGTACTTATACGGAATAAATTTGTATTTTTTTAAAATCCTTTGAACAGTACTATAACTGAAATTAGAGTCCTTGAGAATATCTGCTATTGAATTCTCACGATAAGCTTCAAAATATCCAATAACTGCAATTTCCGTGGCCTCGCTTATTATGAATTCTTTTTTTGCCCTTGTTTTAGCAAAAACATTTTCGTTGCCCCTAAATTTTCGATAAAGTCTCAGAAAATATCGTTCATACGGTTGAATGCGAGCGGGATATAATTCACTGTAGTATTCTCTTGCTCTCAAGGAGGATTTTCTGCACACTAAACAGCATTCTAACATATCACACTTTTCTTCATGGGAGAACATTTTTCTTTAAATTAATGACACAATAAAGCTTATAAACAAGTATTTACACTAATGTTTGACATTATTTGATTTTATCATTGTTTTCCAAAGCCTTCTAGTTGCGAGTATGTCCAGTTTAACAATTTGTCGCTTATCTTAATGCTGTCAAATCGCGAACGCCATGTTGTTTTCATAGCCGTCTTAATATTATAATACTGCAAATAATTAAAAATATTTATCGTTATTTTGACTTTATTTTTGACTTTAGCGGAAAAGTCATTATGAACTTTTTTGTTTAAAATTTGATGCTTTAACAGAAAAAAATATAATATACAGGGGTTTCCATTTAAAAAAATGTTATTTTACTGAAAAAAATCAAAATAACGACTCTCAATTGTTTTTTTTTTATTTCTCATTTTTACCAGCGTTAAAAATGCTACTAGTTTGCTAATTCAAACAACTTTGTATTTTCACTAATAACAAAGTTACTAATGGTGGACACTTAATTTGGATAACCCTGTATAGGCTTCATAGGCATTCGACGCTTAAGGCAGAACCTGCCTATGAAATCAATAAATGTATTGTTATAACATTATAATGGCAGTCCTCAAAATACTGCCTGGCCTTATCAGTGCCTGGCCTTAAGCAGTGGTTCAATAATTCCCTAATATTTGAGAAGCCTATCTGTTTTATACTACCCACCATATTATTTAATACATAGGGAAGAATCGCTTCAGACGTTCTCTCCCAAGCGCGAGCGTTTGCCATGTCGTCCGAATGTCGAATGAGAATGAGCTTCCAATTAAAATTTTAAATCAGCCTAGCCTAAGGTCGAAAATCTCTTGCCACAGACGGATGTCATCAATTTGAACAATGTAATGTTTGTGTGATCTCTAAAGCGAGAGACAACTTTGGATCTTTCGTTTCGGTACTACTCAAGTCGTTCTGGCTTATTGCAAATGCAATGTTGCCAAAGCACTGACGTCGACTATCTCACAGCAGGTTTGACACTGTGTTAGATCATTAGATTTGTTTTAAATCCATGAACTCTAAATTAGGATGTTTTTCAAGTGATCCAAATACTGCCCTGGGTTGAAATAGATAGAACGTAGTTGGAAAAAGCTATGGCCGTCGTAAAAGTATTCCATTTTGAGATAGTACATCTTTAAGGGCTTGTATCTCCACATGGGCGATCCATATTTGAACTTAAAAATATATTTTTTGTTGTCTATATGTATACGAAAGATTGACATGTTATTCTAGGACACTCTGTAGATCACTATTAGTATCATTCTCAACTGGTGATTTGACAAGGACGTCAGCTTCTTTATCCAGCCAGGAAGAATGTGCAACAGAAACATTTATTTATTAAAAACTGCCATATATTTTAAAAAAAGAATGATGATTCGGTAAAATCACTAAACATGTCTTAAATTGTTCATATGATATACCTACATATTCATTGACTCTGTAATGTCATACTGTGAACATCTTTTTATCAAAATGTATCTTCATAATATTTATAATTGGTGATTTTTTACAATTTTTTTAGTCACAATTGAGCCTGCCATAAGCACAAAAATCTGAGGGGTTTCGATTTGGAATTCAATGTGTTTTTATAAAGCGTCAGAGTTACATCACAAGACTAGAGACCAGTGTTATGCGAATAGAAGTAATTAAGGTATATAGTAAATTCTCTTATCTATTTTGTTGCAATGATTTCTCCAACTCTCATTCGAAAGTTTAATTTGTGTTTATTTTAGCTGTAAAAAAAGGGAGCCGACATGAATTCCCTTAGCGACAAAATGAAAGTTAGAATTAATAATGATAGCAGTTTTGTAAGTAAAATTGTCTAGACGGGCACCTCGAAAATCTGCATGTTCTCCAATTAAGGAACATTTTCAGTCTTTAATGACATCGGCAAACGTTATACTCAATGCTTTTTTAATAATCGTCATTCAAAAGTATTGAATGAAGTCGAAAGTACAAAATTCAAATTAACCCACTTTCTGTCTGCCATATTTTATACATATATATGTATAAGCAGTACCATGCCTAGGACGTGCTCCTCACCAATAACCACAGTATTCGTTTCACTGTATGAAAACCAAAATCTGGAATCTATATAGTTGTTTCGGAGGCGTATATTAACACCTCCCCCTTGTATGTACGCCCAAATAACAAAATCGCAGATTGCGATCGGTTCCTCGCATTGTGGCAACGTCGCACGACCACTTGCGCCCTAATCCCCACCACCGTACCGATGCGGGTGGGGGCGCGTCGCTACCGGCGCTGCGGCTCGCCTGCCGGCACCACAACAGGCAAACAATGATCTAGACGGCTGTGCCCAGCGTTGCTACGAGAAGCGTCAGCCGAATCGCCAGTTCATGAAAGCGCGCGGTTGCGAGCGGAGTGACGTACGTGCTACGGGCGGTTGTTAAGAAAAAAACACCAGAGAAACATAGCCGGGCGTAGACATTTCGAGTTGTGTTCTAGTGTTGAAACAGATTTTTATTATTTGAAAGTGCGTGTCGTGAGACGTGCACACTGATTTAGGATAATATGTCGACTGCGATAATGTCACAGAATGCCATGTACGAGTTCGGAGATAACTTGATGAAGGTAAGAACACTTCTGTTTTTTTTGTTCTGGGATAACTTGCATACCGTTAACATATATAACAGGCCGTGTAATCTATGCAGTCAAATATACACTCTTTTAGATCTCATCTCTTTACAATAGGGCCTTGTATGCCTGTAGTACATACACTAGTACAGGCGTATGCTCGACTGCTTACATAAACAATTCAACATAACTATAAAAATCAAGTGTGCGGAGAGTTCGAAGACATCCATACCTAACTCAGTTCTTCGGATACCATAAACTGTATCTATCCACAGGTCTTTGAATGCCAGGTACCCACTCGTAAAATAAGCAAATACTCATAAATGACATTACCCCAAATAGCCCCTGTTAGCTGTTAGGGACGGCTATGGGTACCCCAACATTTTGTCCTTAGACGTAAAAATAAATTTGAAAATGTTTCTTATACATAAGTATTCAGATTGTGAGCATATTATATCGATCCGCGAGTTTATTCAATCGAGAGCACCTGTGGATACGCATTTTTATGTTAGGACATGTCGTGTTAATTTCAGTCACATTATACCTGGGTGATGTTGACGAAACGACAAAAACCTCGTGAAAAACACAAGGAACTAGTTTACTAGTTGAAACATGAAAACATTGACGCGATAGTATGGATTTTTGCCTTCGTATCTACAGAAATAATAGAACGCTGGTATCCTATAGACCCGGTGATATTTGGTTTACGTTCTTTTAACCAGAAAAGAATCTGTTTTTATCTGTCACTGAAAGATTCTGTGTACTTTTCACAAAACAGAATTTGGAATATTTCAGAATTGGAAAAAAATATGTAAGTAGGCTATTTTATTCTACTTGGAACTGCAGTTTGAAAAAAAATGGTACCAGAAAACGGAGATCTGTTAGGGGATACAGATAAAACAATTGTCTATTATTTTTAAAGTGATTTCTAAAATCTCAATATCAAACTTGTTTCATTTTCCCCCCGCAAGTTTAGTTATACCAATTATTATAATATTTAAAGCCCATGGTAAAAAACAAGATATTTTGTTTGTTTGTTCAATAAACTTTCCAAATGAGGTCTTAATCCTGTTTGTAATTATTTTACTAATTCTACTGAAATTTTTAGCTCATCACATGATAAGTAATGATTCTTAAACGATTTAATCATGTATATTAGCTTTAAACGTCTCAAATACCGTATATTTTTAAACGTGGCTCAAAAAAGTCTGTCCTCTATATGGTCCCTCGGACATCATTGTCTTTGCACTGTTTTTCAAAAATATTTTTCATGTTACATCTCAAATTTTGTCGAAATCGACTAGATACAATGTTCAAACATTGAAGACTTACAATGTAACATTAGTGGAAAGTGAAATTATAACTTGATTCTTTGGAACAAATTGTTTATTGACACACGCATTCAAAGATGAATCCATGAAATAAAGTTAAAAAAATTATGCGGGGAAAGGTGAAATTAATGTTGCTTGGTTTTTCATATACAGCAATGGACAATAGTATACAGACAAATATGAATATTTACCTAAATACCTTTAGAAAACGAATTCATACTTCATTGCTCCATAAACAAAATGCGTTATTAGTAGAAAAAAATACATTCCTTGTTTTTACATTATCTGCAATGAACACAATACAAGTCTGAATATAAGCACTTTTTTATGAGGGACAAAAATATGTAGACAAATTCTTTTCAACATTAGTTTTGTACAGTTTCGTGTCAGAAGAGGATTAGTTTGTGTTCATCAAGTATTGTTGAATAAGTTGAGTGATTTTAAGACCATGCCGCATGGTCCAGAAATTTCTTTCGATGTGAAAACTAAGATCGTTGAGTTATATAGAAAGATGGTCAACGTCAAGTCGACATTACCAAAAATTTGAAGCTGAAGCGTAAAGCAGTTTGGGCAATATTGAACAAATATAAACAAAAAGGTATCTTGGAAGTTCAATATGTTTGGATCAGATGGTGTTCATTACGTTAGATGTCCTAGTGGACAAAGATTGAACCCCAAGTACACTTTACCCACTGTCAAACATGGAGGCGGGTGTGTTATGGTTTGGGTTTGCTTTTTGGGGTTTGGGATGGGACCTTTACATAGACTAGATGACATTATGGATAAGTTTGTATACATAGACATACTAAAGCAGGTCATGTTACCCTATATGGAAGACAATATGCCCTTAAGATCAATCTTCCAGCAAGATAATGACCCGAAGCCCACTTCAAATCTCGCAAAGGAATTCTTTCTGGATGAAAAATACCAGTTCTCAAATGGCCTTCACAGTCTCCGGATATAAACCCCATTGAAAATCTATGGGAATACTTAGATAAGCAAATACGAGATAAAAATTATTCAAACAAGGATGAACTTTTTGCCGCTTTAGAGCAAAAGTAGAGACAGATTGATGAATCTTATATCAAGAAACTTCTACAATCTATGCCGAGACGATGCCAGGCGGTGGTTATGCTACAAAATATTAACACAAATATGGTTGGTTTTCTATGATTCAATGAACTTTGCTTCGTTTTTCTATAATTGTTTTGCTTTGTCTATATATATATTTTTCAATTAATTTTTTATTGAAGGGAGTCTAATGAATTTATTTATGTATAAGTGAGTTTTATGCTATAACGAATTATGTATAAACAGGTTGGTGTATTAATAAAACAAGTTAAAAATTAAATACAGCACAATATTAATTTGTCTATATATACTTTTCTCCATTACTGTATATTGTTTATTGATACTAATACATGTTTACATTCATTCAAATTCGAGAAGTACCTATATGAAAACAGTGAAATTATAGCTTGATTTTGTCAAAAAATTTAGAAATGTAAATTTTTGTTTGCTTTTTACAATGATATTGAATGAAATAAAATATATTATACCTTTCTGATAATAATGGTATTTATTGAGTTTGATAAGTACATTAGGTAGGGTAAGATTTAGCACAACTTATACCACCATTTAGACCTGTCACTTTATGAAAAAGAATCTTCAGAACCTATTTGTAAATCTGTCTGTAAGGTATCATTTCACACTGAAACATCTTTTTTATGTGACTTGATCAAACAAATAACCACTTGTCATAAAGAGATTATATTATTCACTTGTTGCTTGTTCTCCACCGTTGTATTTATGTGATATCATGTGTAACTGCTTGGTTGATAATAATTGTGCATTTCCCAAGGCATATTGTGGTATATTTGACTGTTTCTATGCGAAGGTTTCGTGAAACCTTGAATATAATTGCGGCATAGAAAATTATAATGACATTCGCCTACCGACCAACCGGGAAGGACTGACGGCCATTATTATATGCTGAGGTTTTTGTGAATACATGTATAATTTTTTTCAATGCAAATCGTCCCATTAAATCTCGGAAGGTTAATGCTAATCCTGTCTACATCGGTTTTTTATCATCGATATAAAACAACATTGCAAATATTTGCAGGTTTTGAGAATAAAAAGTCCATTCATAAATTTTAAATATTAAATAATCTTCCCGTTCCTTATCATTGTGTTTTATCCTTTAATTATATACTTTCACTAATAAGCAAGTGAAATGTTATAAAAAATTTTTAAATTCGTATTGATAGGTTTTTTTGAGCCTACTATGAAATCCAACTGTGCCAGCTTCTTTTTTTTTAGAAATTAGTGCATAGACTCTGGAGCGTCTGGTGAACAAAATGTCAATATGTAAAAATGTCATAATACCCTCTTAGTTTTTATCTTTGTCAGGGTTTTGATGTAGTTATTTTCTTAAAATGGCTAAAATAGACAATAAAAAATCACTAGTTGTTTTCGTCTGTGCTCAGAATAATACTCGGAAAGTTGAGTATAGTGTCCAAAGACCCCCTCACTCAAACCTTAAACTAATTTGTTTGTTCCTTTTTCAGAAAAATTAGTAGTATTCTGTCTTCCATCTAACTTCCCTACCTGATAGCAGATAGAAAAAGGTGACTGTTGAAAAGTTCGCTGCCAACTCTGCACTTTTTCATTTCATATCTGATTATAATGATCAAATCGGAGATCAAAGGATAGTTCTCGAATTGTAATGTTTTGCTTGTGTGGAACGTGAATTACGAGTTAATAGTTCTGAACCAAATACCATCTAAATATCTAAAAGTTACAAATTAAGACCTTGAACTAAGCACCTCTAATAATGCAATCAACAACCACAAAGGCTTGGTGTTCTAGGAAAAAAAAGTACACAAAAACCATATTAACAACGGTTGAAATGACATTGCAGTTATTCGACACTCGACAGGTAGTAGGCCGTGATTTTGAGCATAGGAGGGTCACATTTTACCTGTTGATGTATCCGCCTACGCGTACGCTAGCAGTGTTGCCAGATTGTGCTTAGATAAATCCTCGTACCTTTTTTCTGTGTTAAAATTGATAAATTTTTAAATGCGGCATATATTATATATATATATTACGTTCCTTGGATTATGCCAAGGTTTTGCACATTTCAAGGATTTCACCAGATTTTTTAGAATTTCAAACGGAATTTTTAATGTTTTATGAGGTTTTTTGAGGTTTTACTGTTTAGTGTGGTTTGCCTCTATCCAAACTAACATTAGTAGTTGTTAGTTCTAAAGAACGTGGGGTTTCAAAGCAATATATTATAATTTTATGAAGTTGTATGTTGAGTTTAAAATCACAGCAGTTATAGAACTCTTTTTTCTTGTATAAATGTAGTAAATAGAGAAATGGAGAAAAAAATATTATTTTCTCAACATAAGTATAAGCATAAGACCTGTTCACAGCTTTCGTGTCTTATTAGTCAGAGAAGTCTGTTGGCACCTATAATCAGGTTATATCGTTTGTCTCATTCGAGGTCTTTTCTAAAATAATATATGTATCGGAAATTCCGCTCACTAGTATATCCTAATTGATGGCATCCTGCCACAATTAGCTTTAAACATATTCATTTTCAAAGTGTATGCAGCCTTGAGGAGATGCAGGTTAATAAAACACCAAGAAAAATATTGAACCAAAAGTCTAATCTAATCACCTTGGTTTTTTTATTGAATTTATTTTCTCCATTTGACTTTAGTCATGGTCATTCTTGAAGTTACATAACATATCTATTATTTGCCCGACATGACACCTCATTTTTGAAACGTTCTTTGTGACTGGCTGGTTTCATTGACCTCTGCCATTAGAAACCATTCATCATAAATAATCATTATCAATCAGTTGCAAGAGTTTGAACTCAGCTTGGGTATTTTTGTACATTTCAACAACAGTATAATTAATCGAAACATTGTCATTTTGTTTTTTAGATGTGAACTTCATTAGCTAGCAATGCCTAGACAATTACATCTGATAAAAGTACTATATGTTAGTACTAAACTGCCCCCTGACACCGCCACAAGTTGTAATTATTTTTTTCCAACAATAAGCTAAGCTGTATTTAGTGAAGTGCTGTCAGGTTTAAACTGGGTCCACTGAAAGGCTTTTTGAGATTTTTAGGGAAATGCATTTTAAAATACTGTGATGAGATTATATTATAAACCGCATACATGAATTTAAACGAATTGAAAAACAAAAACGCACAAAATTAATACGTTATCTTAAACGCGTTCCATAATTGATGTCCTCACAGACAATTCGGAGATCTTCAAAAATGTATATTTTTACAAGTGTGACAGAACACTTTCTATGCTTTTTATAGAAGACATAATACAACTTTTCCGTTTAAACCGCTTGAAAATGAGAGTGTTCTTTGCAGCAAGGTGATTCGTGCGAGAGATAACATCAATGAAAGTAATTTCACACCTGATTCATTGTTTGTAATGGA